CAATCTAAAAAATGTAAAACAATTGTAGAATATAAAAATACACGTGATGTATTCATCTTATAAGTGTTTTAAAACATATTCATAATCAACAAGTTGAATTTCGAAGAATACAAAACATTGTTACTATGAAGAGATTCATCATATATATCGTGTTCAAAAGGTTCAAGAAGTATAACTAAAGTTCTAAGAATTGTCTGCAAAATGTCTAATACTATGAAATTACATTTTTAATTAAGACATGTTGAAGAAGTGTCGGACACATTTTTTAAGAGTATCTGCAGAGTGTCGAGTTCAACACAAGTGTCCAACATGGCACGCCTCCTCTATACAAATTTTCGTGTTTCTTAGAACCTATGAAGCACGGATACGGATACAGATACGGATACGGATACGGACACCGACACGGGACACAACAATTTCCGAAAAATGGGGACAAGGACAAGGACAAGGACACGGACACGGCGGGGGACATGGTGAATTTTTTATTTTTTTTATTATATATTTTTATGTGTTATGTTTATAAAAGTAAAAAAATTAAATAGAGAAATTAAAAGAAAATAGAATGATGGCAAATACATAAAAGGCATAAATTTATAAAGAAAAAAAAAACTAAATAAAAATATATAATATATAAGTATATATATTTATACAGAAAATAAATTAAAAAAAGAAAAAGAAAGAAAGAAGACAGTCGGGAGAAGAAAAAGAAGAGAGAGAGGCAAGAGTTGACACAGAGAGAGAGAGAGACTAGAGAGGGCATTTCAGTTCAAAGTTGAAGGTGATTTCAGTTCGCATCATCTGAGTGGGTTCGTTGATTCAAGTTCGCGGCATCTGGGTTCTCATTTGAGTTGACATCTGTTCGTCATTTCGGAGATCGAAGTCGCAAGTCGATTCGAATTCGAAGCCCTAGTTGTTTTTCATGGAAATCGATTGAACAGGTTAGTCTTTTTTTCTCTGTTTTTTCTTCTTCTTTTGATTTAGGATTTAGGTCTTCTCTTTCTCCTTCTCTGTGTCCCCTTGCCGTGTCCCATGCCATGACACGCGTGTCCCCGCCGTGTCCCTTACAAAAAAATCATTAAATTAAAGGGACACGCCATCTAGCGTGTCCTGTACGTGTCCTCGGCGTGTTCGCGTGTCGGACACCGCCACAGCACCGATTTTGGAGTGTCCATGCTTCATAGCTTAGAACCACCTTCACCATCACTGATAGCTCACGTTGCTTTCTTCACCATCACTACCTTTCATCTCCAATTTACAAATCGCTTCAATGCAGTTGAATAGTTTATGTCAGGGATTTAATTGAGCAAGTAGAGACCCTCAACAGTTACCACTACCATCAAAGACCTATCAACTTCGCATCATCTCATCCATCACATCATCGTTGCCTCACATCATCATAACCCATCAAACTTGTCCTTGGAATCCTTACTATTGTCTAGGTTTAGGACATTTCTAGTTGATCTTTCTATTTGGAAGTTAGAGTTCAAATTTTGTACCAGATTAATGCATCGACCAGTCTCTTTATCATCGTTGTATCCTTTGTCAAAATTGAAGCTTTCGGGCTACAATCTTTCAACACCAGCAGTCACAAAACTTCTTGCCCATTGGAGTGTGCTAGTACCTTTGTCAATGTTGTCAGTGACCGTCATATGTGAGGAAGACGACCAACTAGAAACAAAAGCAAGAGGGTTATATAACCCATATAAGATAGGATCCCGATAGGTCGTTTTTTGAGTCAAGTTATTAAATTGGTTATTTATTTATGGGTTTTATTTTCTTGATATGTTTTAGTCTTTAGAAGTAAAAAAATCTAATTTCATCTTTTAGAATCTTAACCCTAGTTGGAAGATGTAAGTCACTAAAGTTTATATAAAGCCATGTAATGCTTCTAATTTAATGAAATTGAAATTTTAGATAATTTTTAGAGTTTTAAAATTTTTTTTATGGATTGTGTGATGTAATGCAAATGAAACCATAAGTGTGATGCCTAGGAATGTAAGAGTGATCCTCAGGACTATCTTCTTCTTCCTTCTTTCTTTCTTTCTTTATGAACGGGCCCAAAACAGCCCTAAAATTCATTCATGTTCCATATTGAATTAAGCCCTAACCCTACTTCCTTCCATCGACATTAAAAAACCCCTAAATTTCACACTTAATATCAGGTTTAAACCCCAACATAGCCCTACAAATTCCAGCTTTAAAGGCCTCAAAGGAATTGTCCTGTATCAGCTGCATCGGTCTATGACAATAACATATAGCAAGCTGTACAGTCTTCTGAATATCAACTGTAGGACAAACATTTTGGTGACTCCACAAGGGCCACGAGAATGTCTCTGTGTTCAGCATATTACTCCCATACTTGAGGAATGTCACCATTTACAATAATTATTCATCTTTGTCAATCAAAGGAGAGAGACCGTTGCTTCGATGCCAAAAGAGCAAGGAGAGGTAAGAGATTGAGGTTTTTAAATATGTTCAAGAAATTGAAAGTTTCCTTAGGATCCGTTCAATTAGAGTGGAAAATATGTGTAAAAAGTGAAGTGAAAGAAAGAAAGAAAGAAAATACATATATACAAAGGAAAAGAAAATATATTTTCTAGTATGCATTTGGTTAAGATGAATTAAAAAAAATAACAGTTGGTTGTTTACATGAAAAATAATTTTTCCTGTGTTTTTCTACAAGAAACTAAAAGCCAAGTTATCATGCTAATACGAGTCGTACAAGAAATTTAACTTTCCTACATTTTCCACCATTCATATGCTAAACAAACGTAGTAACTGTTTCATGTTTTCTCTCTTTTTTTGTACTTTCTGCATACTTTCATCCTAACCAAACGTAATCTTAGAAAATGCCCATTTACATTTAGTACAAAATCTGGGGATTAAGAAGCCACATTATTTCAAGCAGATTCGAGAAAGAAGTCCGATCATGATTAGTTTAAACTGCAAAGGATGTTAAAGCTAGATCATGGGCATAACATCTTTTAACACCAAAATATGACCTCCTTGTGAGCACTTCTGGTAAAGCAAGAGTGGTCTAACTATGGTTTGTCTTCTTTCTATGTTACATGCAAAGTACTAGAATTGGGTGCTGATGTGTGTCAGAGCGTCCAACGACCTTCATAAATCTAAACCATAAGATAATTGGGATATGTACCCAAAAGTTGGATATGAATACGGAAATGCATCATGTACACATATATATGTTGTATAATTTATAATATCTTAGATAAGATGATTTAATTATGTAAGAATGTACTTAAAATTAAATAAAATTTAGTTAAAACATTCACTTTTCATCTCTCATCCAAGTAAGGCTAGAAATGTTTCTTTACTAACAAATGTGAGTTTCTTCTTCTTTAAACATCATAAAAAATTAAAGGATCCAAGCATCTAAATTGGATACAGGCTATGAAGTATGGACACTCCAAAATCGGTGCCGTGGTGGTGTTCGACATGCGGACATCCCGGGACACGTACGGGACACGCCAGATGGCGTGTCTCTTTAATTTAATAATTTTTTTGTAGGGGACACGGTGGGGACACGCGTGTCATTGCATGGGACACGGCAAGAGAACACAGAGAAAGAGAAAGAGAAGACCTAAATCCTAAATCAAAAGAAGAAGAAAAAACAGAGAAAAGAAGACTAACCTGTTCAATCGATCTCCATGAAAAACAACTAGGGCTTCGAATATGAATCGACTTGCGACTTCGATCTCCAAAATGACGAACAGATGTCGACTCAAATGAGAACTCAAATGTCGCGAACTTGAATCGACGAACCCACCCAGATGATACGAACTGAAATCGCCGTCAACTTCGAACTGAAATGCCCTCCCTCTCACTCTCACTCTCTCTCTCTCTCTGTGTGTGTGTTTCCTCTCTTTCTTCTTTATCATCAATTTCATTCTCTTGTTCGGCATTGCAGAACACAACACAACATTGATATTGGGACTGATTTTTCCCTCACTCTCTCAAACTCTCTCATCTTCCTCTTTTTCTTCTTTGTCATCAATCTAATACCATCATTCTATTTTCCTTTAATTTCTCTATTTAATTTTTTTACTATTATAAACATATATACCTTTTTATAAATATATATATATATATATATATCTTTTAGTGTTTCCTCTTTTATTGAATTAATGTTACTATGTTAGTGCTTGTTAATTTTAATTTAGGATGAATGTAATATAAATTTACATAATACATAAAAATATATTTTAAAAAAAAAAAAATTAGCCATGTCCCCCTGCTGTGTCCGTGTTTCCATTTTTTGGAAATTACCGTGTCCCGTGTCCGTCTCCCGTGTCCGTATCCGTGTCTGTGCTTCATAAGATACATGCATCGAACACATATTCCACACACTTAGCTTTATCATATCTGTCGAACACGGGTGGGCTTAGGGTTTAAGGTCCATGTAACACAACTTCCTTCACATTCAAGATTCAAAGTAGGCATCCCAATCTCTTTAGATCAGTTTTTTCTCTCCTACAGAACTATGGTATAAACAACCTTCTTTGATTTTTCAGGACTCTCAACTTCAAGTTTTGCTTGCATGTATCTTATATCAGTCCAATTTTATATATAATTTTGAATATATGCCAACAAGCTCAGACATTTTTTTTCTATGCTTTTGAAGTAGATAACAGTTGCAACATCAGGGAAGATTAGTTTGAATTTATATGAAAGGATAGATGTTTATTCTCAGATTAGTGTTCAAAATCATTAGCCTCTTGAATTCATTTTAGTATTTTACAAGTTCAGAACAAACAAGAATTGCTTATGTATACAGTGATAAGCATGAACACAAGAGTTAAAGTGCATTGGAATAAACAAAAACTAAAAGCAGAAAAAAGATCACACGGGTGACACTTTTATGCCAATAGTCACAAACGGCAAAATTTAGCCCACTCTATTCACTACACCAATATGTCCAAATAAGAACCAGCTTGCTATTGGGTCATTAAAATGAGAAAAAAAAGGTTAATAAGAAAAAATGAAAACAATTATAATAATGAAAACTATTAATCAGAACCTCAAATACAGAATTAACTCGATGTTACACATACTGTGATTATAATATATGTCCAAATCAAAAGAATTCAATAACCTAATATATACAACACATCAAATTCAGAGAACAAAAATATAACTAGATGGATCAAGGTAATCACAAAGCCAACTCTAAATGCTCATGAAGAGTGATTTGATAAAGAATCAAACCGCATTTCCTGCAGGGCAGAGGAGCCAACATCAAGAACCTTCAACAGTGCAATGGCTTTGCTCTTCCCTTTGGAGCTCCCATTCTTTGCAACATCAGCAATTCCACCATCAACGGCAACACCGGTTTCACGAACAGTATTGGCAACCTGTTCCCCTCCACATTGCACCAAATTCAACAATGCCGACACTGAATTCTCTTTTGTCCTACCACTGGAACCCGTGGAGGGATCCAACAAATCGACCAAAACCCCAATACCCGAAACCTTTCGAAAGGCATCCTTAGCCTCTTCGCAGCCGGCAATTTGGGCAATAACAGCAGTAGCATCTTCGACCACACCAACTCGACCGTCCTTGACGACCAATGAGAAGAGGTGAGGAACAGCACCCAATTCAATGATGGTGGCGCGGTTAAGTGGGTAGAGGGCGATGCCAAAGAGGGCTTTGAGGGCGTCCTTGATGGACCTAGGGAGGGATTTAGGGTTGCGTACGATGTCAACAAGAGCATAGACGATGTCCCTCTTGGATCCGATGATGGGTCGGTAGTCGTCGACGATGAGGAGGCTGTAGAGGGTGGCGGCGGCGGACTCGGCGGAGGAGGAGGAGGTTGGGTTACGGAGAACGTGGGAGAGGGCGTCGAGGAGGCCACGGGTGGACATGAGGGTCTCGCGGCTGGAGATGGAGAGGTTGAGGAGAGTGGCGGTGGCGTTCTCTTGGGGGATTGAGGAAGTTGAGTAGAGGGCTTCTGCCAGATAAAGGATCGCACCTGCGTCGGCGATGAGGGGTCGACTCTCTGCGTCGTGCTTTGAGATCAGACGCAGTTCGCACAGGGCCTCCGTTCTCGTCTGTTCCGACACCGATCCCAGCTTCGTCACCAGCGTCTTAATCGTCCGACGTTTCACTTCGTCCATTTCGATTTGCTATTTCTCTTCTCTTCTCTGCTGATTCCGCAAAAACAATCAAACCCTAAGCGTGTTGCTGTCTTTATCTCTCTTACGACAACTTTCTCTCTCTTCGTCTGCTTTTTTTCCCTCCTCGTTCGCTTTTACCATTTCTTTTGAGATTTTCTCTCTCCCCGTTATGAGATTTTTTAAATTTTCTATTCTACCAAACACAGATTGTTCATGTGTGAAAAGGGTTAGATGCTGGAGGTTGTACGAAATACGAAAATGACAGAGCCGCGTAACTAGTGAAAAGTCGAACATTGTGGGTAAGAAAATGGAGACGGAGAGGCGGCGCAAAATTTTCAAACCATCTCAGCCCTAACAGCTTCAAAAAAGTAAGCTGTGTTTTAGTGTCACGTGTTAATTTTTTATTAATTGAGGGTATTGTTTGGGATTGTTAAAGTGTGTGTTAGTGGTGTGTGTTAGGTTAAGTTTGGCATCTCATAAAAAATTTAAAAAGTCAAAAAGTCACTATCATATTTAAGTCACATCATCTTATTTAAATCACATCACTTCTTTACCACATCACTTCAAATTTAGTCCGAATTTGACTAAACTAAAAAAGTGGACCTACCCCCCATCGGTCTAAATCATCTCGTCAAAAGCCTCATCATCAAACAGTTTTGAAATTATAATTTAGGGTTGGTTTGGGGTGTCCTAAAAAAGTGTACTTTTTGTCTTTTTACGAAAAGATATGTAGAAAAATAGAGAGGTGATGTGATGAAAAAAAGATAAAAAGATGGATTATATAGTCTATGCCAAACAAGGCCTTAATCTAAAAGATCTAGAATAAAAAATTACAAAAAAAATTATATCTTTGCATAAATTTAGAATTAATATTTATATGTATTTAATTACAGTACCAAGAGTTGAAATAAAAAACAATTTAGATTATATTTTTAAATTAAAAAGTGAATTAAATAAATTAAATTTTCTTTTAGTTATTGTCTCGAAATAATCTATAATAAATTATACCCAAAAAATTGCTAGTATTAAAAATAAAATATCATTAGAAAAGACAAGTGTAAATTATCAAAGAAAGTTTTTACAATAATTAATATTAAATTAGATCCGCAGACCCGCAATAGAAATTGGTATTAGAACCCAATTTCTCTGTCTTGGCAAGAATATTTGCATGAGTATTAAATATAGTGAACAAGTAGAATTTGATAACTTAAATAATAATACTTTTTTACAAATAATAATAGAACAAAATAATACTTTAAATTAAGTTATTAAAAGAATTTAATGAAAAACTTAGAATTAATCAATTAGAAATAATAATTGGAACGGCTGTGATTCAGACCCCCAGCTGGGGGCATCCCCAGTGACCCCAGCGCCACATGGCGCTCTGCCAGTGGCTGAAACCAAAGAAAAAAAAAAATGTTTTTTATGGCCAATCAGGAGTGACCCCCAGTACCCCCACTGGGGGTCTTAAGCTTTATTCTAATTGGAAGATGACACTAGAAATGATGACTATAGAAGAAGAACGGGAAACTATAGTTATCTAAATAGAGGATCACCCAATTTTTCAAACTTTACCTCTAGAAATGAAGTATTTTTAAGAGAAGCACCACTAAAATTAATAAGTAATACATGATATTTATTAACTATTGATTGCGCTACAAATACAAGTGAAATAATAAAATGATAGAAGAGAGGTATGCATCATGTCTAAAATATCTATTAGCAGCTGGAGCGCACAAAATTTTCTAAATTATATTCAACATAGCTTCATAGGTATAGTAACAAGTTGGTACGACAATCTGAGAGAAGGTGACAAAAGAAAAATTAACAGCAGAAATTACCCCATAAGGTATGTTAAATTTATTTGTAAAATATATTGAAGATGAATTCATAAGAAAAGAGTGGGATGGGGATAAAAAAAAAAAAGAAAAAAGAATGGGTCAGAAAATTAGGTAATATAGAAATATGTAACATGAATTATATATAAAATTATATATGCAAATATTCCTATTACTACAATCAAATAAGTAGAAATAAAATTCATTGAATTATATTTTTTTCATAAATTACCATATTCTATAAATGTTAATATAAAATAAAAATATATTTAAAAAATGGTTAAAAGAATTAAGAGATGCCATAAGCGACACCTTGGGTCATAAAAGTAGATATCTAAGAGAATGGATAGAACATGAATGTATAAAAATAAAACAAAAAAGAAAAATGAAAAAATTATATTTATATTGTTGACAAACATCTAATTCATGGGGATGTGAACTTTCAAGAAGAAAAATATATAATAAGAAAAAGAAAACATTTTATAAAATAAAATGTTTTAATAAACAAAGAGGAGAAAAATATATATAAAAAAATATTATAAACCCTATAATTTCAACAAAAGAAGAAGATTTTTTAGAAAAAATAATTATTGTCCAAAAGGAAAAAAAACTTGTAAATGTTGGGCATGTGGAGAAGTAGGCCATTTTGCTGATTAATGTAGAAATAAGAAAAATAATAAAATAATAAAAGTTTTAGAAAGCTTGGATTATGTAGAGTTAGAAGAGGAAGAAGCATTAAAATTAGCTATAGAAAATAATAAATGAATAATATAAATAATTGAAGAAAAAATAGAAATATAAGACAAAGATTATAGTAATACCGATAAAGAGCTAAATTTTACGATGACATAAGAATTAAGTATAGAAATTTAAGAGTGGAATAATTTGTAATAGAAAATTCTCAAGAAAAAGAAATAGAAAAAGATTAAATACTACCAATAATACAAAAATATGAAATATATCGAAAATCTATATTCAAATTAAAAAGCAAATATATATGTGAAAGAATGGAATGAGATATTGAATATTGTGAATGTGATGTAGGAAAAATAAATTTAGTAAATTATGAAAAATATATTAAAAAATAATAAAGATAATAAGTATAAATATATGTATTTATAGAGTGTACAAATAAAAATTACACCGTTATTTGATAAAGAATAATATGTGTGTGTGTGTGCGCGCGCGCATTTTTGTGTGATATTAGACAACGAAATTTTAGAAGGTCTATAATAAATGGAATAAAAAGTAATCTATGTGGAAGACCATTAGGTTTTAATTGTAGATCAGGATAATACATTAACTTAAGAGAAGGATTTATAAATAGATTATTAACATTAAAAATAAAAATGGTAGGAATCGATATGCATGAAACCATCTATCCATTAAGGATATTTTGAAAAATAATATATAAGCTAGATAATACCATAGATCCTAAGATGCAACATAAAATTATAGAAACAGATAAATTCGAACCTACTAATGGAATATCAATAGATAGAATTACACCTAAAAGAATAAACCATAATGAGATTAAATCGATGGATATCAAGTTTTAATAACCCTAAAAATATTACAAAAAGGAAAAATATAATTAAAATTGATAGTACCGGAAATATTAAAACAGAAACTTCTAGCACGATAGAAAATAATGATGAAATGGATAATGTAAGTATATCATCAGGAAAACACTCTATAGATAACTCTAGTATACAATCAGATAGGAGTTCAGTTAGTAAAAGAATAATAAGATATAAAACTACAAGTGTGCCAGTATATGAAGATGAAGCGAATCTTACGGATTGGACAAAAAACGATGAAGAATAGGCGCAAAAAAAGAAAAGAAAAAAAGAACGACACAATGTGAAAAGATACAACAAAAAGAATGAAGAAAATAAAATGTCATTATCATATACTAATGTTAATTTATATATATACACCCATAAAAATATGCATAGAGGGATTTAATAATTACGAATTATGTGCTTACTTAGACGGCAGGTGCTCAGTATACTTCAGGAAAAAGAAATTCTTTCCCGAGTATATGTGGAAAAAGCAAAGCCTACCATTAATAGTTTGAATAGCTAATAATAGTATGATGGTCTATAATGACGGTATAGAAAACTTAGTTATAGAAGTAAATTTTGTCGCCTTCATTATTCCAAAACTTTAGGCAACTGATCAACTACCACTTGATGTAATTGTAGGAAATAACTTTCAGAGATTATATAGCCCTTGTACTTAAACGTTACACTCTGTTATTTTCACCAGTTGAAGTCTTAAGCTAAAAACAACTATTACATATCATAACATTGACTTCGTTCAGAACAAGCACGGTACGAAGGTGATCTCTCCAACCGGCAAAACTCTACCAAGTATTAAAGAAATTAGTCTTCAAGAAGAAATTCAAAAAAAAAAAAAGCAACAAGATACAAAACTCTATATAGCGAAGATTCTTTAAAATTTTGGCACAAAGATAGAAGTATAGCTAAATTAGACATATTTATATGAAACGTAACGTGATACCAACATAAACCAACAACATTTTCACATTCAATTTTAAAAAATAAAAACTCATTAAGTTTGCGAAACATAACGTGGCACGTTACGTTACGTTTATGTAGGTGTCACGTTACATTTATGTAGGTGTCACGTTACTATAGACCACCCCGAAACTCCGCTCTGCGTGCGCGAGGGCGCGAATCGTTTTTCTTAAGCTACTACAGTTCAGACTCGTGTCATGGTTCTGAATTTAATCTCACAAAGTGCAATATGAGACCGATAAATCACCAAAGAGTCCAAATCCGGCAAATCATTTTGAAAAACTAATTTTTTATAAAGAAGTGCCAAACATGGACTGCTTTGCCAGATACAGAGTCGCCACCTAAATATTTTATTTTGGAAAAATTTAGGAAACCCTGACTCGTGCCTAAGGCCATGTGTCCGCCATCACCAAAGTTGCCTCGACTTGGGAATTTGGGTATGAGAGGGGAAGGTCATGCAATGAGCACCCCCGAGTTAGTAAAAGAATAATAAGATATAAAACTACAAGTGTGCCAGTATATGAAGATGAAGCGAATCTTACGGATTGGACAAAAAACGATGAAGAATAGGCGCAAAAAAAGAAAAGAAAAAAAGAACGACACAATGTGAAAAGATACAACAAAAAGAATGAAGAAAATAAAATGTCATTATCATATACTAATGTTAATTTATATATATACACCCATAAAAATATGCATAGAGGGATTTAATAATTACGAATTATGTGCTTACTTAGACGGCAGGTGCTCAGTATACTTCAGGAAAAAGAAATTCTTTCCCGAGTATATGTGGAAAAAGCAAAGCCTACCATTAATAGTT